TATTTATCATAATCTTGACGTCATGCATATAGAAAAGAATATTTTCGACAATGTTATAAATACTGTGATGGATGTCACTGGAAAAACAAAAGACAACTTGAATGCAAGAAAAGATACGAGATATTTATGATCGGCCAACACTAGATGTGGATGCAAGCAGCAAGGGACCAAAACCAAAAACAGTTTATACATTGGACAAGGAGCAAAGACGAGTTGTTTGTCAATGGTTGAAATATGTACGGTTTCCTGATAGATATGCTTCGAACCTCGGGAGATGTGTTGATTTGAATGAATGCAAGTTGACAGGTTTGAAGAGTCATGATTGTCACATATTTATGGAAAGACTAATTCCAATAGCTTTCAAGGAACTTCTACCAAATTTTGTATGGAGCGCCATTACAAAGTTAAGTAATTTTCTTCATGATATTTGCTCAACAGTGTTAAAAGCATCACACATGGAGAAACTAGAGAGAGATATTCCAATTATTCTTTGCAACTTAGAAAGGATATTTCCTCCATCATTTTTTGATTCAATGGAGCATCTCTTAGTTTACTTGCCTTATGAGGTCAAAGTTGCAGGTCCTGTCTAATTTCGATGAATGTATCCATTTCAGAGGTAAATTTTTTTTAATAAATTCCAAATTACTTTATTATATATTATGTTCTGATAAACTTCTTTCTATTGCAACTATGTTCTTATATCATTTGAAGAAAAAAGTGAAGAATAAGGCATGTGTTGAAGCTTCAATTTATAATGCATATATTGTGGAAGAAGTAACAACATTTGCATCATACTATTTTGAGCCGCACGTGCAGTGCAAGAGGCAGAGAGCAGGAAGAAATGATGAGGGCCAAATCATTCTCTATTTTCAATTATCTTGATCGACCAAGCGACATATGTAAGTTTCGTTACTTAATAGGCGAAGAATGGCAGGCAGCCCATACATATATTTTACTCAACTGTCCAGAAGTGGAGCCATACTTTGAGTAAGTGTACATTTGCAAATATTTGTATTGTGTGTCAAACATTTGCTAATATATAAATGGTATTTGTTAATAGGATTTTTCGAACTTCAATGTATGAACTATTACCAAATCCGTTTGATCGTTTGTGCGATAAAAAATTTGTAACGTGATTCAAAACATATGTAAGTTGCTTATGGACCAAAACCAAGTTATGAATATTTTATACATAATTTATTAAAATATATATTATTGACTTTGCGTGTGTGTGACCTTAGGTTCACACTAATCATGATCAAGTTGAAGAACAATGATTTCTATATCATCTGTCATGGGGTCCAAAGTCAAGAGTACGAAGCTGGCAAGTATATTTCATAAATAGGTATAATTTTCACACTCAAGAATATGAAATGGGAAAAGTCACAATGAATAGTGGTGTGTGTGTTCGGTCATCCAATGGTGGCAGTTCAAAAGATGATTTTTATGGCTTGTTGGATGAAATCATAGAGGTAGAATGCCATGGACCATTAATGCGAGTTGTGTTATTTAAGTGAATGTCGTTCGACCCCGTCAAAGGAATGAAGGTGCATACGAAGAAAAGGTATATGAAATATGAACCATTTGTTTTGGTACAACAAGCAATTCAAGTATATTATGCATCATATCCTAGTTTGAAACGTGACAAAGCTGATTGGTGGGCTGTATGTAAAATCAAAACACGAAGAAAAATCGAGGAATACTGGAAGGATAAAGAATATCAACAAGAAGAAGTTTGTAATGCGGTTGAAACTGAGGAATATAACATTCCAACTTTACGAGATCCATGTGGAGCAATGATAGATGGGGATCCAACTGAAATTCGCAAATCAAATCTAGAAGGTGTTGCAGAATCTGATTTTGAGACAAAGGATGAAGATGAAGATGAAGATGAAGACGAAAACGAAAACGAAGGTGAAGATGAAGATCAAGACGAAAACGAAGGTGAAAATGAAGATTATGATTTTTGAGACTTTTTATCAATTATGTGTAATTATTATTATTATTGCAACATGTGTTACTATTGTTGTCATAATTATTGTTGTTATTATTATTATCATTATTATTGTTATTATTATTATTTATTTGACGAATTGTTAACATGAAAGGTCGTTGCTAATATCGTCACTAATTAGCAACAAACATAAGTTCATCGCAAAATTAGCGACGACATTGGCGACAATTTTTATTTGCTTAATTTTTAATATAATAGGTCATCGCTAATTTGCGTCGTCGCTAATTTCGTTGCAAAATTACACTACAAAAAAAAAAAATAAGGATTTACCCACGGAACATTAGCGAAGAACGCCAATTCGTCGCTAATTTGTGAGGGAAATAGCAACGAACGCAAATCCGTCGCTAATTTCTGACGGAAATAGCGACGAAAATAACTTTCGTGGCACGAACGCGACTATTTTTATAGTTCGTTGCTAATTTTGTCACTAATTTGCGACAAAAATAGCGATGAAAGTAACTTTCGCGGCATGTTCCCGACTATTTTATTTCGTCGCTAATTCCGTCGCTAATTTGTGACGAAAATAACTTTGACGAGACAGTCCCGACTATTTTTATAGTTCATCGCTAATTTCGTCGCTAATTAGCAACGAAAATAAACTTTTGCCGCACATTCGCAACTATTTTATAGGAAATTAACTTTTGCGACTATTTTTAAAATCTGACGCTAATTCCATCGCTAATTTGCAACTATTTTATAGTTCTTCGCTAATTTCGTCGCTAATTAGCGACGGATTTAGCAATGAAATTAACTTTCGTGACTATTTGTAAAATCCGTTGCTAATTAGCGACGGAATTAGTGACGGAATTAACTCTCGTGGCACTATCGCGACTATTTTTAAAATCCGTCGCTAACGAAATTAACTTTCGCGACTATTTGTAAAACCCGTTGCTAATTAGTGACGAAATTAACTTTCGCAGCACTTTCGCTACTATTTTTAAAATCCATCGCTAATTAGCGATGAACTTGAATCCGTCGCTAATTAACGACGGATTTAGCGACAAAATTAACTTTCGCGGCACTTTCGCGACTATTTTAAAAATCCATTGCTAATTAGCAACGGAATTAGCGACGAAAATAACTTTCGGGGCACGTTCCCGACTATTTTATTTTCGTCGCTAATTCCGTTGCTAATTAGCGACGGAATTAGCAATGAAAATAATTTTGGCCGAACATTCCCGACTATTTTTATAGTTCATCGCTAATTCCATCGCTAATTAGCGACGAATTTATAGATGAAAATAAACTTTCGCCGCCCATTCACAACTATTTTTATAGTTCGTCGCTAATTTTGTATCTAATTAGCGACGGAATTAACTTTCGCGGCACTGTTGCGACAATTTTTAAAATCCGTCGCTAATTAGCGACGAAATAAAATTCGTCACTAATTTGTGAAACGTCGTCTTGATTTAGGGGTACAATTAGGGCTTTCTCTTGACTCTCTCTTTCTCTCTCGATCGATTCTTCAAACACAGCAAAAAAATTAGGGCTTTCTTTCTCTCTCTCTCTCTCTCTTGATCGATTCTCGACGGCTTCCTCCGACGAGTGTTTCTTCGGATTTGGCATTCTTTAGCGCGATTTTTTCTTGGAGAGAGGAACCCCTTCGGCGGACGCTGGGAAGATCGTGTTGACCATCGTCCGAGAGGAACCTCAAGCGCTCGGACCATCGCCCGAGAGGAACCTCAAGCGCGAGGACCGTCGTCTGGGAGTTTTGGATCTGAGGAGGATCATCGTTCGAGTGGAGGTATGTTCGTGTGAATTTTTTGCACTTTTTGTCTCGGGCGAGCGCTATTTCAAATTGTTCGGTTTCGGATTCTGTGGGACGTTTGTTTGTTGCTCCTTCTTTTATATTGGATTTCTGCTTCTTCTTTTTGTTCGGATTGGGTCTGCTGCTGTTCGATTTCGGATTCTGTCTACTGTTCTGTTCGGTTTCGGATTGGGTTTGCTGTTCTGTTTAGTTTTGTATTGGGTCTACTGCTGTTCCGTTTCGAACTCTATCTGCTGTTCTATTCGGTTACGGATTGGGTATGCTGTTCTGTTCGGTTTCGGATTCTATAGGGCGGAGATTGTTCGGTTTCAGATTGGGTCTGCTATTTATTTGCTACTGCTTCTTTTATATTAGAATAGGTCTGCTGCTTCTTTCTGTTTTTATATTGGATTCGACTTATCTCGGGTTGAATGGATTGGGTCTGATTGGATTTTGTATTAGATTGAGTCTGTTTTTATATTAGATTGTTGTGTTTCGAATTGAGTCTATTTTAAGCCAAGTACCTAATTAATGCACTTAGATTGGCGAACTCGGAATGGGCTGAAATTTGGTCAGCTATGTGGAAATGGGCCGCTGATCAATACTCACTGCTAAGTTGTGACGGAGGTCATTTTTTTGCGTTTCGAAGTCGTTTAGATAGGTTTTCCAGCATAAACACATTGTGTTTCACAGAATTTTAGTTCGGTTTAAATATTGTGTGAAAGATACATGATACACATTGTGCTTCACATGGAACTGCTTTCTAATGTTCATTAACAGATTTTATAACAGAGGGTTCTAGTTCTTGATTGCCAAATATGCTCCCTTTTTATTTATATCTAGGTTTGAAAATATTCTAGTTTGATCATATCATGTAATATGCTTCCCATCATTCATTCTCCTATTTTCTTCTTAGATAATAATCACCAGAAAGTGTTTCACTTCACTAGCTTTTTGAATGTTTTTGTAGACAGAGGTAACAACTGTTATTTATGGCAAAAGAGAGCTAAAGAAGCTCGTAGACATTTTTGGACAGCTTGCTATTTATCAGAGGTGATAGCAAGTTTGTTTCGTTTTCTCAAGTTTATCTCTTGCTCTCTTAAACAAAATGGTAAGCTTCATGATGTATGTCATTATGTGTCCCTAATACATGTTCATGTTTTTTAAGATATTTGTCTAACCTTCCTACTTGTCAGTATAAACGTGGAGGTCACATGCATGGTGCAGTTTCACAAAGAAGAGAACTAAAGAAGCTCGTAGACATTTTTGGACAGCTTGCTATTTATCAGAGGTGATAGCAAGTTTGTTTCGTTTTCTCAAGTTTATCTCTTGCTCTCTGAAACAAAATGGTAAGCTTTATGATGTATGTCATTATGTGTCCCTAATACATGTTCATGTTTTTTAAGATATTTGTCTAACCTTCCTACTTGTCAGTATAAACGTGGAGGTCACATGCATGGTGCAGTTTCACAAAGAAGAGCGGCCCCTTCCGCTTCCTCGTCCCCGTCCCTTTCCTCTTCCCCTACTCTTTCATATTTCCCTCAACCACTACATGCTGATGGACAACATGGACACATTGGCCCTTCCTCCGACCCTCAAGAACATATTAGGGGACAACTTGGACACATGCGAACTGAATCTACTTCAGTTCCACCTTCTTCTTCAGTGCAACACTCGAATGATGAGGGAAACACAAGTGAAGAAGATAGTCGATTCATGATACGCCCATATGGAGATTCGTAAGTACTTCATTTTTTTTTAAGTATATGTAATATTTAGGATTTTAGATATGGATGTCAACTGAATTGTCCATTTTGCAAATTATTCGTATGCTTCATTGTTTCATTGTCCATATCGTTCTTTCTAACCTGTTTGCAGATTCACGGATACTACGTATGTTGTGATGCAACTTAATAAAATAGTCAATAACTCTTGAAGGGGGTAGTATATTAGTTACAATAGCGCTCCAAAAGAAGTAAATGATTGTGGTGGAATGAGTTCAAGGTAAGTTTTGTTCTTCTAGGTGTTTCTAGTGGGCCGTGTTAGGGATCAGATCATACCCTCATATTGGTACTTTTAAGTTTGGAATTATTTTTCTATTGATGCAGCGGAAGTTCAGGTGGGATGAAACGGAAGAGGATGAAGTTAAAAGAATTTTTAAGAAGAAAGTCGGTGATCACATATGAAATGTAATGAATAAAGCAAAGATAAGTCAATAAAACCAGATTTTATTACGGGTGACAATTGGACCGAAATTAAGAGAATTGGGAAACTGAAAAGAATAAGCAAATGAGTGAACAGAATAAGAAGAATTGAGCTTCTAGTTCTAGTGAAGGGTTTGACACATATGCTGGGGGCTCTATCAACATCGAGGAGCATAGAAAAAGAATGGTAAGTCTGTTGAACATATTGTAAGTTAATTTAATTCAATTACGCATTTATGTTTATATTTTGTAGGCAGATGAATTGGGGACGAAACCGACATATACAACTACATTTGAACGCACATTTCAAAAAAAAAGAGAAGACATGGACTGACGATCTAGCAAAAGCTATTAAGGTATGTAAGATTATACTTGAAGGTATGTAAGTTTATGGAAACTGGAATGAAAACCATGAATGCTTTTAATATTTATGATAGTTATATATATGAAGTTATTTTATTTTCATCTATATTGTTGATGCAGGAAAAATATGATGAACTTTTAATGAATACTGCTGGTGGTAGTGGTGGTGATGGTGTTGCTGTGTCTGAGCCATCAGTTGACAGTATGCCATTATGGGTAGAGGCATCGGGTGGGATGAAAAGAGGAAAAATATTTGGGATGGGATCCTTGTCAAGGGTATACACAACGTAGGCTGCTGTAACTTCATCCTCCAATGCGGCTGTTTCAAGGAGGACACAACTTGAGGAGCAAATGACCCAAGAATTGAGCCAATTGAAACATTTACTTGTAGAGAAGGACGAAGAAATAAGAGTGGTCAACTAACAAATGCAATTGATCTTGCGACTCCTCAACCTCGATCACGATGAGGTTCCTCCTGTACCTCCGACTAATCCAATGGGTGATGGGCACAATGATGAGCGACATGATGATGATGACAATGCTGCTGATGATGAAGATTTTGTCAGTCCTTGCTAGTTAAAATTTCCATTTTCATATCATTATAATATTTTTATGCACTAAATTTTGAGTACTATGTATTTCATCATCATATCATTATTTATTTAAGCACTAAATTTTGATGTTATTAAGTGCTTAATCAATGTTAAATATAAATTCTAGAAAATAATTTTACTGTTAATTATATTTAAAATCGAAATCGTCCCTAAACAACATTCGTCGTTGACTTTGTCGCTAAAGAATTAAGAAAAATTTGTCGCTAAATTCGTTTCGGAACAATGTTCGTAGCAAAAGTAAAAATTTTTCGCGGCAAATTAGTGACGAATTTTGCCACGAATAAGTTCGTCGCAAATTATTGACCAAAAAAAAAATTTCGTGGCAAATTAGCAACGAATTTTGCCACGAATAAGTTTGTCGCAAATTACTAACCAAAAAAAAAATTCGTGGCGAATTAGCAACGAATTTTGCCACGAATAATTAGCGACGAATTTTGCCACGAAAAATTAGCGACAAATTTTGCCACGAATAATTAGTGACGAATCTTGCCACGAATAATTAGTGACGAATCTTGCCACGAATACAGTTCGTGGCTAATTAGCGACGAATTTTGCCACGAATAATTGTGATGAAAATTGAAAATTTTTGTTGCTAAATTTTGCGGCGCCGAATTGGCGATGAAATTTTTTTCGTCGCAAATTCGTTTAGCGACGAATTTTTCCATTTTTTTCATGGCAAAATTCGTCGCTAAAATCTACTTTTTTTGTAGTGCTACCTAATTTGCGGATGACTTCCAAATTCGAATTCGCGGCAGATCGGGACAGTGGTCGACGGTGAGCAGTCGGTGGACGTGACGGTGGTGGGACGATGAATGACCCGGCTGTACGTCTTGGTGCAACAGGGATGATTCGACGTCGTCCTGGAATCACGCCTTGGCCACGTAGTCATAGTGGAGAAAAGGCTCGCTGGATGGTGCTTTGTTGGACCGCCGTTGCAAGCGGAGTGATAGAGCAAAGCACGCTGGACGTTGGTGAGGTGCAGAGGCACAAGGAGCTGCTACAACGTTTTCAAGGAAAATCCACCGAGTGATCCCCAAGTGGATTCCTTTGAGAATCTCCCAAAATCTGATGATGGTGAACTTTCTTCCAAAGTAATCCAGCGAGGTCTTCTCTGTGGGCCCTTGACTTAGAGATTGACGAAGAACTATGGAGCGGTGCAAGTATAGATTGTCGTCGAAGATCGTGCCTTGGCTCGACTGTCGTGGGGTCTCGGGACAGTAAGGGCAGAGATGACTCGTCGTGGTGGCTTGGTGCAGCAGCGGCAGAACAGGAATAGAAACAGTTCGTCGACAAGAAGAAAGAATCGAGAAGGCTCGAGCTTTATAGCCACTACGTCGTCGGAAGGACCGCAATGAGGCTGGCCATGGTTGGTGCGGTAGACGTTGGGAAGCAGTGGTGGGATGGCGGCGTCACGGGACAACAGCAGCAGCGGTCCGTGCGATGGGGTCGCGAGGCGGCGTGACTGCGGGGCGGGCGCTTGCGCGACCGACTCTCTCTCTCTTACTCTTGCTCTCGCTCACGTGTGTCTCTGGTGCTTTCAGGAATTGTGTTCTGAGAATTATGAGAGCTCCCCTCAAATTATGAGGCATAACCACATATTTATACTGCATACCTAGGTTAATTGGCCAGGCTTTCCTAATCCTAGTGGGCTTTGGTTTAGGCTTTATCATCTAATTTTAACTTCCAATGGGCTGAATTAATTTGGGTTTTTTTTCTCTAATTGAGCACAATGGGTTGACTTAAGCTCAAATTAAAATAACCAAGGCCTTTTAGACTTGTGAATTTCAGCCCCCATCTTCCGAGTGGGCAGAGCTTCGTTTGGCGCTCAAGCTCGATTTGCGCGATGAATTTTTAGCTTTCCTCGCCACCGCCGGTTCGACATAGAATGCAATTAACCTATATAATCCTAAACTATATGCTATGCATTTTCAATATTTTTGTTTAGGGGTTAAAATTTAATTCCTAATTTTCTATGCAATTTATCATTAAATGGTTAGTCAAAATTTAAGTGTCAACACTCAGAAATCGTTAATGTTGTCCAACTTCAACCTTGCTGGACTTATAATGATGTTTGTCAACTTGCTTTAAAGGTGGAACGACAACTTAAAGAAACTCGTGGTACTAGCTCTCGGTATCGGGACAAGGAGGGCTATTCTAAAGGTGGGAGTATTTCCACTAAAAATAAAAAAGCTGCTTCAAAGTCCATTCCTAAGAATGAATGAGCATCTAGTTCAAAGCGCCCTAATTCTGTTAGGTGTTTCAAATGCCAAGGGTTTGGACATATTGCCTCTGATTGTCCAAATCGTAAGATTGTCTCTTTAGTAGAAGAAGAGTGTGAAGAAGACAATCATGAAGACTTCCCTAGTTCCAATGAAGGGTCGGACGAGGGAGATGAAATTATATATGGAGATCAAGGAGAGTCTCTAATTCTTCGTCGGATCTTGAATACTATTCCTAGTGAAGGTACGTGGCTTTGCAACAACATTTTTCACACTAGATGTACTTCTCATGGAAAGGTTTGTGATGTTATTATTGATGGAGGAAGCTACGAGAACGTCGTGGCTACAACAATGGTGGATAAATTGCACCTCAAGACGGAGAAACACCCACAACCTTACAAGCTATCTTGGCTTCGCAAAGGGAATGAGGTAAGGGTTGATAAATGATGCCTTATTCAATTCTCCATTGGGAAAAAATATAATGATGAAGTATGGTGTGATATTGTTCCCATGAATGGCTGGCCATTTGCTTATTGGGAGACCTTGGCAATTTTATAGAAAGACTAAGCATGATGGGTTAAAAATTACTTATACTTTTAAAAAGGATGGAGTTAAAGTCACTTTGGGTCCTTTCAAAATAGAGAGCACTCCTAAACTATCAAATGGGGAGGGAAATAATTTACTCTCTAAATCTGAAGTTGATAAGGCTTTGGAAGATTCCTTTGTGGCATATGCTCTTGTGGTGTTAGAAGAGAATGAAGAACAGTATGTTGTTCCTTCTCAAGTAGCACCTCTTCTCCAAGAATTTAAGGATGTTGTTTCGAAAGAAATTCCACCCGGTCTTCTGCCTATAAGAGACATTTAGCATTGCATTGATTTTGTTTCGGGAGCCGTTATTCCAAACAAAGCTGCCTACCGAATGAGTCTTAAAGAGCATGAAGAGCTTCAACGACAAGTATATGAAATCTTGGCTAAAGGAATGGTGAGAGAAAGCATGAGTCCATGTGCTGTCCCTGCTCTTCTCGTGCCAAAGAAGGATGGGTCTTGGCGTATGTGTATCGATAGTAGAGTGGTGAACAAGATTACTATCAAATACCACTTTTCCATTCCTCGACTTGATGATCTTCTCGACCAACTTCTTGGCGCTACAATCTTTTCTAAGGTTGATCTTCGAAGTGGATATCATCAAATTCGAATGAGAACCGAAGATGAGTGGAAAATTGCCTTCAAAACAAGAGATGGCCTCTATGAATGGATGGTCATGCCTTTTGGTCTCTCTAACGCTGCCAGTACATTTATGCACCTCATGAATCATGTTTTTAAACCATTTATTGGTAGCTTTGTTGTTGTTTATTTTGATGACATTTTCGTTTATAGCTCTACTCAGGAACAACATTTGGAGCATCTTCGCCAAGTTTTCAAGGTTCCTCGGGAGCAAAAGTTGTATGCCAACTTCAAGAAGTATCTTTCTAGGCTATATTGTCTCTGAAGATGGCATCAAGATGGATCCTAGCAAGGTGGAGGCAATCATAAGCTAGCCCGTTCCGACATCTATACATGACATTCGGAGTTTTCATGGTTTGGCCTCATTTTATCGTCGCTTTATCAAGCATTTTGGCACTATTATTTCTCCTATCACCAAATGCTTAAAGAAGGGAAATTTCAAGTGGACCAAAGAGGCACAACAAAGCTTCGAACTCCTTAAAAGGAAGGTAATCGAGGCTCCTATTCTTGCACTTCCAGATTTCAATAAAGTCTTTGAAGTTGATTGTGATGCTTCCAATGTGGGAATTGGTGCGGTTCTTAGCCAAGAAAGAAAGCCTATTGCATTCTGTAGCGAGAAGTTGAATAATTCCCGCAAGAATTACTTTACTTATGACAAGGAATTTTATGCTATTGTTAGAGCTTTAGATCATTGGCAACACTATCTATTGTTTAAAGAGTTTATTCTCTATTCGAATCATGAAGCCTTAAAGTATGTAAATACTCAACACAAGCTCAACAATCAGCATGCCAAGTGGGTAGAGTTCCTTTAAGCATTTCACTTTTCTTACTAAACATAAAGCTGGAACTCTCAATCGAGTGGCGGATGCATTAAGCCGTAGACATTCCTTGCTATCCACAATGTAAGTGAAGGTCTTAGGCCTTGACATGATCAAGGAGCATTATAAAGAGGATCCAGACTTTGGGAAAATTTGGAAAGATTGTTCGAGGGTCCAATTCAGCAATTTTTATTGCAAAATGGATTTCTTTTTAGAAATAATTGCTTGTGCATACCGAGAAGTTCTCTAAGGGAAGCCATTATCAATGAAGCCCATGGTGGAGGTTTAGCCGGTCATTTCGGAAGAGACAAGACACTCTCTCTTATCAAAGAAAAATTTTATTGACCTCAATTGGAGAAAGATGTTATGAGACATGTGGAGCGGTGTCAAACTTGTCACATCGCCAAAAGCCATTCTCAAAACACTAGCTTGTATACTCCATTACCGGTACCAATAACCCCTTGGGAAGATGTGAGCCTAGATTTTGTGGTTGGTTTACCTCGGACACAAAGGGGTAAAGACTCAATCATGGTGGTCATTGATCGGTTCTAAAAATGGCGCATTTTGTACCTTGTAACAAGATTTTGGATGCTACTCATGTGGCAAATCTTTTCTTTCAAAGATCGCGAAACTACATGGTATTCCGAAGACGATGACATCTGATCGGGACTCAAAATTTATTAGTCATTTTTGGCGAACACTTTGGAAGAAGCTAGGCACTACACTTCAATTTATCTCTTCTCTTCA